CGTGCCACGAACCGGGACTAAAGGGTGCGATGCCCATTAGTCCCGGTTGGTGGCACCAACCGGGACTAAAGGTTAGACCTTTAGTACCGGTTGGTGCCACCAACCGGTACTAATGGGTTTTGAGGCATTAGTACCGGTTCATGGCACGAACCGGTACTAAAGGTCCCATTTTCAAACTCCCCCCCCCCCTCTTGGACCGCCTTTTCAGTTTTAGAAAAAACAAAAGAAAATGATGGAAATGTCAAAAAAAAAATAAGTTTCCCATGTGATATGTGGTCTACTTGTTGGGAAAATTTACAAATATGAATTTCGACTTTATTTACAAAATCTCTCTGGAATTTGTAAAATGGGCATAACTTTTGCATACGAACTCGTATTAAAAAGTTTTTTATATAAAAAATCATCTACTCGAAAAGTTACATACGAATTTGATGAATATTCTGCTGATTAAAAGTTGGGCAGTCATCGGTGAGGTGCTCCATTGCATTGTCAAAGAGTCACAAGCATGGTTTTTGAGTCGTTGTATAGTCGCCGACTAATCGCCAAGTCGTTTTCCAAAAATCAGGGCGACTCGCGACTACACAGCAACTTTCGTCGACTAATCGCCGAGCCGCACGGCTCGCGGCGACTCGCCAAGTCGCGACTCAAACACCTTGGTCACAAGATTCAAGTAGAGATATTATTGTTATGGAAAATGCCAACTTCAGTTTTCAGTTTGATCTGTACTCGTTTTCATATCTAGCACTGTCTCTGGCTGGATGTTTCCCTTGTGGACATGTTGGTATGGGTTGTAGTATGTTGACTACTAGTGGTTGGGGCGCGCCCGTGGCGCGCAGCCTGAGCGAAAGTTGGGTGGTGCCAGGTTAGACACGCCCCTTGCACTTTCCTGTGTGTAGTACTTGTTGTTATTCCATCAAACTTGGGGCACAAGGAGAAGAAGTACTGATACGTGCAAGTTCTAACTGAAATAATAAGACAGTTGTGCAAAAGTGAAACAATAAGGCAGTTGTGCGAATGCAACACATTCAAAGACCAGATTCTTAGAGGTTACATGAACGATGATATAGATGATAAAGCAGAGGCATATTTCCTCACATCATTCGGCAGAACTACAAGGTCTTAGAGAAACAGGAAACACGACACATGGATTCTATGCATGGACGATGGTTATGGTCATCAATGGCGCATCCAAAGGCGATGAACAGCGAGACCATAAGGACTCTTGATGGCGCGGTGCCTCTTCTTTGCAGCCTCAACACGAATATACTGCAACCTCACCACGAAGAATTATAAGCCACAACTTCATATGCCCATACAATTTGTAGTTGCTTAAAAAGACAAAGCAAGCGAGTACTCGGGAGTTTTGGTTAAAACACATCTAAATAGAGATGAAAACTGGCAAACTATACATCCACTTGCAACAGAGCAAAAGGAATGAAAATTGCACATGATTAAGTAATATAGATCATTCATCTTGTGAACAAAGAGCAGACTAACTGACACTGTGGTAACTAAATCATTCAATCCCTGAGACTGATTAGATGTCAGTTTCTTTGACTGCCAGTACCTATTGGTAAATTAAACTATTAATTGGAGGAAATATTTAAGCAGCCCAATTACCTACCAGATCATTGTACTTACACTTCCTAATCAGATCACCTAATAGGAGATACTATTAAGATTATGAAACATATGTTGAAGTATATGGAGTATATCATTTAAGGGAATTGGCTTGTTACCATGTACGTTCTTGTGCTGCTTCCTGTACATGGCATTCCATATAAGCTTACCGGGCTTGAGATGGTTGTGGAAATAGCGCTTGCACTTTGAGTTGGAAAAAAGGAAGACCTGATTTTGGATATAGGCAAAGAATGCGCAGCATAATTTTAGCAAACTTCTACTTATTTAATTCCATGTGCACTAACGATATGGGCACACAAGCTTACTCGAGAGTCTAAATGGACGAATCTGATGCATTCCCCGGGTATATCTTGGCACCACTGAAACGGCAGAGCTCTGTCCTGTATAAACACAATTGCAGGTACAAGTAAGACAGTGGCAAGCAGTTTCACAAATCTTTAGTGTTCCCACACAACATCAATGATAGTAGCATACTTGAGAACCATCTTCTCCGCCCTGACAAACTTTCAAAGCTCCTCCTACAAATAAAATGCAAAGATATTAGCACTTAAAGTATCAACGAATATCATGAAGCATTGCCTCTAATAACACAGCTTGAAAGACAAAGCCTTGTTGAATGGTTGTTGCACGACATATCGAAGAGACTAACAAACTAAACTGAACTACAGTGCATCATTATAAGTTTTATTAAACAACATGAACAACTCATAGGAATAATGTACAAAGCTAGGGACACAGTAAAAATCTCGCGCACAAGAGTACATTAAACATAACCACAACACTCTTGAGATGGACCTCTCCTGATTTATCAAAGTTAAAATATCTATTTATTTTGTCCAATACTGCCGACAAGCTAAGCTAGATGGGGCTCTGGAATACCATGAAACATAAAATGTACAATGTCAAGTAATGCACATACATTTCCAGGTTCAACAATTAACCAGAGGCTCAATAGTAATCAACACATACATTTTCTCTTAAAAATCGTGGCAAAGAAATTGATGCCAAATTGCACACGGCAGTTTTGTGGGACTTATGAATTCATTTATCTCTGTACACAGGAGGGAGGAGACAATTTGTGCCCAGATTTTGTTTTCTTTTTCTGCTGAAAGTGTCATGCACATCATCGAAAATAAATTGTGTGGACACATGAATTACTTTTAAAGACAAACTATTGGAAGAGAACACATGTCTTCGGAGACTCGCAAAATTTAGAGCAGACCTTATAGAACATATATGGTGTTCTTGTTTCTATCTGTGCCTTCAAAATGACAAACCAAATGGACTGTCTTCGCTTTACCCTGAAATTGTGTAGCAAGGTTATTACATATTGCTAGTCACTTGAAGAATATGTACATCTAGTCCAGCTTACTTTTCTATATTTCTTGTGTGGGTTATGATACTCATCATCCGAGCAATCAGCCAAACCTGGAGCTTCACAGGAACAAAATAATTACCATTGCCCATTATTTTACACCCTTTCCATGAATAAACCATAAATCCAGAGAGTATAGAAAAGATCGTCAGCACAATTTTCCTCCTACAAATTAACGAAGGGAATAAGAAATTGTGAAAAAATTAGCAGATAAAAAGAATTAACCGAGGGAGTATATTCAATCTATGGGGAGAGAAGGTTGGAAGGGGGATTCTGGAACATGACCTGTAGCTAGTTATCCTGACACCTGCAACCAATGATGGACATTAATTTATTTGCTGCAAACTGTCGTTGCCTCCACCCTCTCCTAAATACCCTCATCTTCTTGCCCACCCCGCTGCCGCACCGTTCTTGCCATCTTGCGGCGCCACCTCGTTCTCCTTGCGGATCTCGCTGCCACCGATCCCTTGAAAAAATTCAGGCGTACAAAGAAAGGCGTACATGGATGGATGGACCTGCTAGTCTACTCAGCCAGAGTAGACTGCTTGATTTGGCGTGGAACCGAATCCCACTCACGCCACAACAGGCACCCAAAGCAGCAAAAGGCAGCAGAATCAATCGAGAGCATAACAAAGTTCATATAAATTACTCGTCGCATTACCCACCTTTTTTGGACGCCAAATCGAGCAAAGGAGGCGGCGGGGGAGAACTGGACCAGGCCCCCTAGGAGGCCCTCGAGTTGCCTCCACTTCATCTCCTCTCGCTGTCGCCGTCGCCGGATAGGCGCTGACTGGAGGAGACCCGAGTCGAGGCAGATCATATATCAAAGCCACCACTGCCAACTTACGCAACTACCAACATCTATCTTATTGAAACAGAAGAAATTTAGCTTAACTACATTATCTCACAATTTCATTAGAGGCTACAACAGCAGCAAGAAAGCATCATGGTTTAGGCTTGGCAACTACCAAAATGTGATCTCATGCGAAAAAACGACAATAAATTGTTCGGCTTAGCATCATGTTTCAGCTTACACAACTACCAAAACATCAGGCTAAGCCATTGTCTTATAGTTTCAGGAAAAGGGACTACAAGGAAGTTCACCCATCAATGTGATTCAGATTCAACCTACCATAAGGTCAGAGAAGTTAATCATCGTCCGCGTTGGCTTCATCTGCTGCACTGTTTTAAATATGAGGGAAGGAAATTATCATCCACTAATACTCTAAATGAACTCTAGTACTGTATTATAAAGAACCAATTGAGACACACTCATGACAATCAAGCGTTCCTATGTCTGCAATGCACAAGATATATTGCATGTACATTCTTGCAGCACACACTATATAGTTGCTTCCTTAAACAAAAAATGTTAGCCCGTACAGCCATGCATCAAAATTGATAAATGTTCAGTTTTGATGAGGCATATATCACCTAAAGTACCAACAGTCTCCACCATCATCATCATGAGATTTATTATCGTTTGTAATTCATAGCTGATTTGAGAGAAGCATAGGATAAAATGAGGTAACAACAAGAGCTAGCAAATATAGTATATGTTCTGCCAATAGTACAGAAAACGCCAGAGTGCAAAAAATAGGACACCACACTGTTCCTGCTGGCCACAAAAGATGTAATTCCTGACTGTACTTATGCTAGGATCAGGATTAATTCACCCTGGTGCCCCCCCAAATAAGCTTGACAAGGTCTTCCCTAAGTTTGGTGAAACATCCCAAAACAAACCCCCAACTACCCAGCAGAAGAAAAAAGAACAATTGATTACACAAAGAGCATAAGAAGAAATATATCTTTTCCTACAGTCTGATTGGATTTCCAACACCTTGTAGTCACATACACAAAATAATCTGCACAATGAAAGATGAGATTATAGGGGCTAAATCAAACAGAGTAGTGGATGAGAAAAGAGCAAACTATTCAGGAAGAAGAGAAGAAGTAAGAGTACTGGTAATAGGTGGACTATTGTAGATTCATTCTCTGCATTACTGCTACTGCAAAATACGTTGATATACGAACATGCTAAAATACTGCAGTTTTTACAAAACTTTGTTGTCAAACAGTGTAAATCATGCTCAATTGTACTGGTAGCCAATATAGTCCACAAGACCCATGTCGTCAGAACTGAAGTTCTGAATTAACTATATTGTAATAGTCATCAAGCTGTAGCATTTCCTCCATATTTCAGCAATTCAACACACCATGTATTTATTTGTTTGAATATCATGTGAAATTAAACATGAATTCCTTCAATTCAGAAAATGAAACACAAGGTATGGAGAGATCAAGAATAAAAAATACCTGCAGGTTCTGAATTCTTTGCACATGCAGGCAAGGAGCTGGACACCCAAATTTGTGTCCTCGCCATATACCTGCGCGCAATACCTGATAAACATTCTTCTTAGATTAAGAATCGGTAAGCTATACAATTTTTTTTGTAGCACACAACTTTAGATCTGAAATTCAGTAGTAATAACTCATCTCCTTGTAGAACTCAACCACAGCAGACCAGAAGAGAAGGAAGGGAGATGCGATGTGTACCTGACATGAGGCAGCGACCGTGGCGAACAAATGGAGGCAGGACACCAGCATCTTGATGTTGCACGAGGTCTCAGGGGTTGCTGATGATATGCATCTGCTTGTGAATCCCCTGCTCCACGCCCTTGGCATCGCCCCCTGCTCCTCAACCCCTTGTGCCGCTCGTGTCCAGGCACATGGGAGAAGCTTGAGGTTGCCGCACGCCTGCTCGTCCCTCCCGCCGCCACCAGCAACCGGCGCCCATGAAAAGCGGCGGCGCTTCCCTCGCCCTCGAGCGTCCGCATCCGAGAGTCACTCCGCGTGGCAGGTTGAGACCCGTCGAGGCGAATACGGCTTGGGGAGGTGTTGGCGGCGGCAACCCTAGCGGCGGCGGCGGCGGCTGCAGTGGAAAGAACGAGAGAGATGGGAAGTTGCGTGCAATGGGAAGCAAATGCAAGGCGCTCTTCTCGCTCTCCTGTAATGTGGTGGGCCAACCAGGACCAAAAAAAGAACAACACGAATACGCCAATACGGAACGAGCTTTTCCACACGATCCCTGGCGCCACGTGGCTATCGTGAGCGTTAGCTCTTGATGCACACCTTATTATTTTCGATGCCTTTTGATGTGCAACAAGTAGAGCTGTATGAGACACTTTAGTGTGTTCTATTTTGACATGTACATGCTATCTCTATTAGAATATTATGTTCTGATACAATTTGCATCGTTTGGTTCTCTGATTCTACGTAGGTGCTTGCATTGCTAAGGTTGACCTGACGTAGAAGTGTGCATATGTGTGCACCATGTAATGTGATCTTGCTATCTGAAAAGGCCGAGAAATGTCAGTGTTGATGATTCGTAATCCTAGTTGGTTTATATTCTGTATCGGAAAACGATCAAAATCTTCTAATAGACCTTGAACAATTTCTTGCTCATTTTTTCTTCATCTAATGGCTCCAAGTTGAAACTATGACCAGAGTATCTAGTTTCGTTTTCCCAGTCCTCTTTAGAACTTCCAATTTTAGTTGGCCTGTGATCAAGTAGCGGAGTGGGCCCCCCTCTCCCAACAATATGTTTCCTCTATGAGAGGCACTAATACCTTACTCTGTAATTAAGTATGTTCCAGTTTCAACAGTTTGAGCACTACTATCCCATATTTGAAGCTTTTTACAACCAACGAAATTGGAAACATAGCCCTCATCTGTGGGATCTTCGTGTCTCTTTAAACCTAATTGCTTTTTCTAGCAAGTTTCAAGATTCTGCAAAATCAAAGGCCATATTCCTGCTTCTTTGGTCTAATCAGAGTTGTTGCGTTGCCTCTACCAGTATTAAACATATAGTATAATTTGTGGAGTAAAAAGTAATCATTTCAGTGACATGTTTAGCAGAATATTGATAGACTTATTTTTTTTCAGTAGACAAGCATGTTAGGGATTGTATAGAACTTTTTGAGCTGGTGCTTGTTAAGTTCAGCACTTAGCACATGCATTTTTACCTAGAGTTAATATAATTGTATTCATGTTTAGGCTATCACTTTATTGACCTTTTGTTGGTCTAACTTATGTCCTTTCATACTCACTGCTTATTTCCTGGCTTTATTAATTAAGGCTGGACTACTTTTGTTGCATTGATTGGTTATATACTGTTTTCTGCAGATAACTTCTATTGTCAATGTGTGTTCAGCTGAATAATGTGAAGCTAAGACCTTGCATACCCATTGAACTGTTCTACTCCCTCTTACTAGTAATTATATACAGTCATATCCTTACTCCTTGGACAAAATTTTGGTATCTCTATGCTAATTCTTTATAAATAATGGCTATGCTAATTCTTTATAAATAAATTACGTGTTATTCGTCACCCTGGGTACGAAATAGTTATTCTTCACCCCTTCTCTATTTTGACGTCAATGCACCGTATTTTTAGGTTTCATAAATTTTGTCTTATTTCATACGTAAAAAGAGAACGTAACAAAATATATACTCGCCGTAAAAAATATTTTATGTTACGTAAAATTACAAACGTAAAAACATAGTGAAAAACATACATAAAATGCGATAGTTTTTGTCTTATAACCTTTTTTTTGTTTTCTTATACTAAATTTTACGTAGTGAATCAATATGAATGTAACTTCAAACGTAATTTATTTATGAAGCGATCGTAAGATTATCTCGGGTGAAGAATTACTTATTCTGCATCCTGAGTGATGAATAGTATTACTATATATATACACACACTAATTTAGAGAATCATTACCCGTTCTTCTGTAGCCATCTGCCTTACGTACGATGCGTCTGTTAGTTGTTGCTCTGTTTTGCAGAATCAAATAAACAGTGCTCCAGTCACAGAATACTTCGGATTCGATGTTAGCAACTAGAGATCAGACGGGTGTGAATCTACAGACCACATGGTTAGCAGTCCAAAACCGTGGGGTTAGTTTGCTTAGTCTACATATACTAGTCTTCAGCCTCTCTGTTGTCCTTTTCTTGCTCTTTTTTTTTTCTGTGCAGTTCGAATGCCTGATACCTTATCTGGTTTTTCTAATTATTTATTATATCGCACTGCAGCGATTTCAGGCTGATCTCAGCCCAAATTATGCTGTGAAAAACAGATCCAGCAGAGGTTGCCTGATCTCATCCTAATCTTGTACCCTATTTTAACACAGTTACTGTTTGGATGCCAATTCTCGAAGATAAGGCGGATGCATCAGCCAAGCATCGATCAGTTCACTTCCGTCAGCATGCTGCGTTAGCACCGCGACTTCCTTGCGATCGTTGACCAGGAGCCTGTACACCATGATGCCCAAGAAACAGTGGGTAAGTTCAAAGGCTGTATAATGTTGGAGAAATTTGGGGACACAAATACACTCAAGCAAGGCGAGTCCTCCAGATAGGAGGAAAGTTGCAGCATCTCCTTCTGGCTACATCGCAGATTCAGAGAAATATTTGTTGGTTCCTTGATATGACACCTCATATTTGGCAATAGTGACAACTTCAGATTTCAGAAAGACCTGTTGGTGACCGCACTGAATAGTGGCCACCCGTGGCATTCTTCGTGCCGCAGTGCCGACCGCGAGTCAGGTTTAGAGATCCTGTCCTCCTAAGAGCTGTGTATTCTTTGCGTGGCTAGCTGCCTGTAATAGATGCTGGACAACAGATAGGCTTCAGCACCGTGGGCTGCCGCATACGGTCCGCTGCCCGATCCGCGACCAGTTGTCGGAGACGCTGTCGCGTTTACTGCTTGGATTTGTGGTCACATGGGAGGTCTGCCATTCCGTCCTCCACGAATGCCAGCAGAAGTGTGTGCCTGACCACGATTAGCAGCTATTTGATGGAGGGATACAAGAGACATGTGGAGAGCCATCACCACTGTGTTCTGGTGCATCCAGTGGCACCGCAATGATGTGGTCTTCAATGACGTGAAGGTTTCAGTTCGAGGAAGGGCTTTTAGAGGGAATGAGCCGATAACGTTGATTAATTGACATGTAGTGATTTAGTGGGATGTGAACCGGGACGGGGTATGCCGCTGTGCCTATGCTACCAACAACAAAACCTACAATATCAATAACAACAGCACCAGACAAATCTGAATTATCCTCCACAAATTTGAATGTAATCTATGAACAAGTGAGGTATTTCTTTCTAACAGTAGGCATACCTGTCTATACCTACAAAGAAGAGAACCTTGACATTTTGTCTCAGGAACTGAGTTTAGCTTTGTCGGATTGTTGTGTAACTGTGCCACTATTCAACTCTAGTTGTAGCTTGTTGTCTGAACGAGTCAGCAGGAGCATAGTCTGCACCAGAAGATCTGCCCAGTGACAAAAATTCTTATTGAACATGAATATATTTTTCTTGGAAGGAAAATCTATATATTCAGCAAGTTAGTAGCATGATCGATAAGGAGATGTGGGCATATACTATTGCTATCCTAATTCTTAGTTCTAGACAAATATGCTTCCTAATGGTAGTCTGCAGGAGCTCCTCAGCAAGAACAGAGGCGGAGAGAGGAGAGGCGGAGGGGATTTCGGAACTTGCCATAATCAGGAGGGAAGATCCCGTGCGGGTGGACGAGATGCACGGAGGAGGCGGATCCATACCGCCGGTGATCACCGGCGACGTCGCCAAGGTGGCAGATGTCATCAAGGGCCGTCGGCACAACTAGGTCTCCAATAGAGGAGGCGAAGAGGTGTGTTTGAAGTGAGCGCTTTTAAAGCGGGTTAATTCGTGGAAACGACAGGCAATCACAAATCTCAAAAATAAATAAATGTGAGAGGCTTTCACGGTGGGCCTTTCCCATCCTGTACTATTCTACTCCTACCACTCCGCCGCCGCCATCCATCTCTCAGGCTGGTCATTGTGGGGAGTCATTTATACTAGTGTTATGCATATGACACTAGTCTAAGTTACTATCTTTATAGTGCAAAATAACATAGTAATAATATCATAGATGACTTCATTTATTAACTTGTAGACTCATTCTTTCTCGAAAAGCGCCACATAAGTAAAAATTTCTTAAAATGCGCTATCTAAGTTACTCCCACTATGACTAGCCTCATCGTACCCTACCTATTCCAGCCGCCGCCGCCGCCTCCAAGCCATGGAGAAGCCAGTGGAGGGGCCGATCTCCAGGCTCACCCACGACCTAATCGCAGAGATCCTCTCTCGTGTGCCCTACAAATCACTCTGCATCCACAAGTGCGTCTGCCCGGCCTGGCGCGACCTCATCGCTGACCCCGCCCACCGGAAGAAAGTTGTGCAGACCCTGGCCGGCTTCTTCTACCACATCACCGGCGAGGCCACGCCCGTCAAGTACGCCGACCTGTCCGCCTTCCCCTGGTCGAGCGTTCCCAAGACCTACCCGCTTCTACCACAACCGCCTGACAAGATGGGCAATTTCTTCTCTCTTGAGGGTTCCTGCAATGGATTGTTTCTTGCCCGCATTCGGGCGGCCACCCCTGCTGGAACAGTTCGCTACATGGTCTCCAATCCAGCTACGAGTGAGTACACTGTGCTGCCTGACTCTGGCTCCGC